GGTCCACAAGCCCGCCTCCATCCTCTGCCTCCTTCTCCCACCTCCACTAGAGGTCTCCAGCTCTCCTGGAGGGGAAATGTCCTGTCCTTTGGGGGAAGACGGGATTGGTGGCCCTGCCAGTGAGCAAGCAAGGCCTGACTCCCCCACACTCAGCCTCTGTCCGTTTGTCCCATCCCCTGTGCCTTTTAGTGTTTCCTGGGTGAAGTGTCGAGGCGGGCGCGAGGGGGCATCCTGAGCACCTGAGGAGGGTGGCCAGCCTGGGTGCCACCCCTTTGGTCTGCCTAACTTGTTCTAGTACTCGGAGGCGCGGGAGCGCATCCCGTGGACCTAGAGCTCACCCGGCCCCTGGAGCCCAGCTCGCTCATCCCTCACTGCCCAGATGAGGAAGCTGACATCCGGAGAGTCCAACCTGAGGCCCCGTGTGTGTGTGAGGAAAGAAGCTGGACTTGAACCCGGGACTTCTGACTCCACTGAGCAGAGAAGGCAAAAGGCCCACCCATCCCCAGTTCAAGTCCTCTCTGCTGGGAAGCTTCTGGGAGTGTCTGACATTCCTGGGGTTTTTGGTCCCTCTCTCTATTTCTTCTATTTAGGTCAGCAATTACCACCCCCACCACCACCACCCCCACCCCCACCTCCCCTGTCCTCTCTTGGCTCTCACAGGCACGGCAGAGACCCAGCTGAGGCCTGGCCTACAGACAGAACTCAGACTCTGCTGCTGTAGCGACCCAGAGCCAGCTGCTCACCTGGCTCACCCAGGTGCTCCTGCGCCAGCTCAGCCTCTGAGCCCTGGGAAGGAAGCCCAGAACTCAGCAAGCTCGGGAGGAGGGGGTGGGGGTGGAGGAGGGGGGTGGGGGTGGAGGAGGGGGGAAGGCTGTGCAGAAAAACAACTGACAGGTACAGTCTCTGAACATCCAAGCAGACTCCTCCCAGCCTGCTTCAGCAAGGAGCCCAGGCAGGCCTGCATTGGAAACCAGCTCTCTACTTACCCTCTAGCCCCAGCACCAGGGGGGGCTGCCCACCCCACCCCCACCGCAGCTCTGTCCAGCCCCAAACCTCAGAGCCGCCTACTGGCCTGGATGGGGTCCTGGAAACTTTAGCACTGCAGACTCATCGAATTTTCCAGGCTGTGTGCGCGTATGAGTGTGTGAGTGTGTGTGTGTGTGTGTGTGTGTGTGTGTGTGTGTGTGTGTGTGTGTACATGTGCGCACATGGCACTTGAGAAAGAGGTAGGGAAGCGGGCTGGCAACCAGGGAAACCGGGGAGGATGTCACAGGCCTCAGTCTGGCCGAGAGGTAGAGGAAACCCCCTAACCTGGTCCATGGCCACCCCATCTCACCTGGGGGCACACTTCACTCTGTTTCTTCTAGCAGAGTCCCTGTGAGCAGCCCCGATGGGCGGAGGTGAGACGAGAGCATCTTAATTTGGAATCTGAGCCAAGGAGACACAGTGGAGAGTGTGGGTGGATAAAGGGTCGGGGTCCCAAGGTCCCCACAAAAGAGAGGCCTGTGGGGACCGAACATGCTTCAGAGCTAGTCCTAGGGACCCAGCCTCGAGGATCTTGGCTGTCGAAAGCCCTCTTGCCAGCCTCGCCCTGTTAGAGCAGCCTTGGAGATAGGAGACAGGCTTAGAAGAGGGTAAAAGAGCAACCCCCACCCGACCCCCATGCCCAGGCCAAGATTCTCTAGTCAGCAAAAAATGTAGTCCTCCCAGCAGCCACTCCCCCAGACAAACCCACATCCTCTGCCTAGAAAACCCCTGGGGTCCTCCCAAGGTCTCGAAGCCTACCTTCTCAGCGCGGAGTGAGCTGGCCGGCAGGCAGAGCAAGGCAGAGGACTGGTCCTGGCATCCCAGCTGCCAAGTGTGAACTAGCCTGGTCCCTCCCGGCAGCTGTTGTAGACTGCTCTTTCCGGCTCCTCCTCTGCTCTCCCACAGCCTGAAGCCAGGCCCTGGGCATCCCCCACACTAAAGGAAGATAATTACCAGGCAGACGAGAACAAGTCGCCCCCTCTTCCTCCCACAAACTGGGGAAGGTCACCAGGAAAGGGGGAAGGTCCAGCTTCTACTGAGCAGGAAGAGAGAACTCGGCGGCGGTGGCGGCGGCGAGGGGCTGGAGGGGGCAGCCAGTAATGTGGGGACGGGCAGTGTGTAAGCATAAGCTGGCATCAAGGACAGCACAGTGGGCAGGACACAGAGGGCCCTGGGGGGAAGGGCCATTGGGGGACAGGTGTCCATCCCTCCCTCCGGCCCTGGACTTGGGAGAAGGAAGGGACTCCCCTTCGGCTTGAAGTCACCCTGCACAGAGTTTGGCAGCGGGCATAGATAGAGCTGGGCTATTTCCTGGCACTCTGGGAAGGCCACATGGTTCCCCTGTGCGGAGCTGGCATGGGCCATTGGTCCTCTCCACCAGTGGTGAGGGGTGTGGGAAAGTCCTTACACCTGCAGGCATTAAAAGGATAGCAGAGGGACAACTGGGTCACCTGGGAGAGCTGTCACAGAGGTGCGGGCTGGGACAGGCTGGGGTGCCTCCTCAGCCTTCACGGCCTGGCTTAACTGCACCTCTCTATCTCACTGTGTCCTTGGGTGTCTTCCGGACTCCTCCTTGGTGAGCTCTGTCTCCCCCACACTCCCAAGGACAAGCCCGGACTTGCAGGGATGAGGAAGAATAGCTGCCTCGGTATTTGAGGGGGATGGAAGCACTCGGGGGAAGCTAGCATCCTAGGGCTTCTCCAGAGACAGGGAAGGACGGCGGCTCGGGAGGGGAGTGTGAGAGGCAGAGTGGGCCCGGGCTTCTCCGGCCTCTCCATACCCACCCAGAGCAGCCTGCAATGTTCCAGGGTGACAGCCTCTGCCCGAAGCTGCAGGGGACAAGGACTTCTGGGAATTGCGGGAGCACCAGGGACAGTTGTGGCTCATGGCCCCTGGGATGGAAGGGATGAGAGAGAGAGAGTGGTGTTAAGGACAGAGAGGGAGGGAGGAAGGGAGAGAGACAGACAGAGACAGAGACAGAGACAGAGACAGAGACAGAGACAGAGACAGAGACAGAGACAGAGAGACTGCCTGACAACAGGACCACAGGTCTGAGACTCAGGTGGGATAAGATCTTGCGCTCTGAGGCCCCGCCCTCGACCTGCTGTGGCCCCGCCCTCGGCCCGCTGTGGCCCCTCCTTCGACCTGCTGTGGCCCCGCCCTCGACCTCCTGTGGCCCCGCCCTCGACCTGCTGTGGCCCCTCCCCCGACCTCCTGTGGCCCCGCCCTCGACCTGCTGTGGCCCCGCCCTCGACCTGCTGTGGCCCCGCCCTCGACCTCCTGTGGCCCCGCCCTCGACCCGCTGTGGCCCCGCCCTCGACCCGCTGTGGCGCTCCCCAACTCTGCCTAGGATCTAGGCACAGACACCATCGTGTACCCATTCCGAAGCGAGGGACTCTGCTCATTCTGGGCCGCTGGGAGTAACTCCTAGAATCTCTCCCCTGCTAGAGTGGAACTTCCTGAAAAAACTGAAGGCTGGCTGGAAAAGGGAAGGGGAGGAAGGGATGACCTAGACGGAACAAAGACTCAGCCCCACGCCGCTTCCACCACCAGGTGGGGCTCCCTCGCTGCCAGCCCGAGTCGGCTTCTCCCGCTTCTCATGTCTGTGATGCCAAACACTGGGGCTGTGGGCAAAGTGCTTCTCAGGCCTCGCTCCATCTTCCTGACAAGGGGTTATTGTCCTTAGTATCCTTCCCTGGGAGGAAGAAAGCTGTTGGGGAGTCCGAGGAGACGCGGGGAAGCCGGGAAACTCGGCCAAGGTCACAGCACCGTTAAGCACCAGCTTGCTCATTCGGCAGGTCCTGTCCCTCTGACTTCCAACTCTGACTTTACATTCTCTAAAGTTGAAGGTACCAGAACCTTATCCCCAGTCAGAAAGGCAAGTCTGCGAGGTGAGAGAAGGGGGTTGGGGGGCAGGGTGCCCTCAGCCCCTGCTGAGGTAATGGGAAGCTTCCGCAGAGGAGGAGAAGGAGGAGTCACCTTGAGGACCGTCCTGGCAGCAGCGGGGATAAGGTAGGGGCTGCTCCAGAGACAGCAGGGAAGGGCAGATGCAGGACAAGGGACACGTGTCTTGTCCCACCCGAGGCTTGTGGTGGAGACTCTGGCCACAAGCTTTCACGTCCTGAGCAGAACAGGGAGAGGGAGTGGACAGGAAGGTGAGCAGACGCCCAGAGACCCGGGAGAGACTGGGGCGTCTTGCTTCATGCCTAGGTTGACCCTCACCCCACCAACTCCCTTCCCATCTCCCAGCTTCCTTGCTCCCTACCCGAGAACTCAGCTTCCAACTTCTTGAACCCCACTCACTGGGCCCCCATCTGTGAGGATCAAGAGGTGTGCTCACAGCCACTAGGCTAAAACTGTGAACTGGGGACACTGGGCAGACCTGTGGGGGAGGACTTCTCCTACTTCCTCCTCCCCACCCCTGTGGTATCCTCACTTCCTTTTCTTGATTGCAGTCAACAGCTGGCCCGGGGCGGGTGGTCCTCCTTCCACTCCCCTCCCTCCCCTGTGGGGAGGTCAAGGCAGAGCCCAGGTGCCCGTCGCTGGACACAAGTGTGCAGGAATCCCCGGGCCCCTGCTCCTATTACCTCATCCTGGCACCAGAGCCAACCGCCTCCCGGCTGTACTGAGCTTCCTCCTCAGGAAAGCCCACCTATATTCCTCGGAGGAGAACCCGCCACAAGGCGGGAGCCGGAATCAACCGGCGCTGGAGCGTCACCTTCCGACTTACTGCCAAGGACAAAGACAGGTGTCCCCAAGCCTCCTGACCTCAAAGGGTCATCCCTGGTCCTCGCCTCCTCCCCACAGGCAGAAGAAGGCCAGCCCCTCCTCCCACCTCCTCCAGGTACCACCCCTGTGCCTTTTCCACGGCTCTTCTTTTTTGGTCTCACCATTTGACAGTTGAATCAGACAAGTAGGAGGAAGAGAAAGGATGTGGAATGTGACTGCTGGGGGCCAGGAAGGGTGTTGGGAACGTTGCAGAGTCAAAAAAAAAAAAAGTCTTGCAAGCAAGCATGAACCACGAACCAGTCGGGCCAGCAAGGGGTCTACCAGAGCCAGGCGGGGTGGAGGGGCTGTAGAGTCTTGAACTTGGGGGCCCGCTTCCTCTCCCCACTCCCAAGCATCCAAGTGGCCCAGTGGTGAAGAGGACATGGGATGTGAGGGCCACAGCCATCTGTAAGTCTTCTGAGGAGATGGCAGGGTTCTGAGACTCCCCCCAGGGGCAGTCTGAGGGGCTCCTAGAAAACGACCCGAGGTTCTTCTCCAGTTTTGCTCTGCTACCTGTTCTCAAGCGACTAGCCTGTGCCTGCAGGCTGAGGGACTCAGGGCCTGGGCCCCTCCTTCCTGTTCAGAACAAGGCATCCTCCCTCCTCTTTCCCACACTGCACCTCTGTGGTGCATCTACTCTGCTCCGGGCAGATAGGGCCTGGGCTTGGCCGTGAACTGCCAGGCTTTGAAGCAGCAGCAAGGGCTCACTCGGGCAGAAGCCGAGCCGTGGAAATAAGTCTCTAGCCAAGGGCTCAACCAGAGGAACGCCTGAGGGTCCCCTATGGTTACCTTCTCAGCAAGGAGGTGGAGTGGGGGGCTTGATAAAGACCCCAGAGGTGCAGACCTGGCATGATCAGGGAAGGCCTCGTCCCTTGCCCATTCCCAGAGCCTTTGCACCCAGCAAGGGTGGCCTGGCACCGGCTGGCAGCCTGCTCTCAGAGGGCGCGGGGAGGATGCACCCGACCCCTGGTGGCAGCTGCAGCAGGCGCAGGAGGGCAGCTTGCAGCTGGGTGTGCGTGGGTGGAAGCCAGGAGGGGCGGAGGGAGGAAGCTGGCTTCCTGGAGCCTCTCAGTCCTCAAAGATAGACGGACTGACAGACAGCTGGCAAAAGGCAGCCTGGGGACACAGCTGCGTCAGTAAGTACGTGAAGTGGGCACAGGCAAACTACGGCCCTGGGGTGGGGAAGCCTGGAAGCAGGGGGGGCGTCGCTGAGGATGGGGTGAAGAGGCACGAGTTTGGGGCTACCATGCCTGGCCAGGCATGAGCAGTGGCATATTTGGTGTCCCTGTGGCTGGAGGGCAAAGGAGCCACACGGAATGCCAGGAGCAGAGAAGCAAAGGGCCCTTTTCTGTCGTGGGAGAGTTCTATCCCAGCCACACCTGCATGGGCCCACACTGTTCCAAGCCTCTGTCCCTGGAGGTCAGCAGTCCTAACCCTACCACCATGGCACCTGTGACTTCGCTCGGGGAGATGCCGACTGCCCCCAAAGGAGATGCCCTCATCACCTCTCTGCCCCTTCTCTCTCTCGTACCCCCAACCGTAGTCTCACCATGCGCTGGAGCTCTAGGCTTGGCGAGGCCATTTCCTGTGACGGTTACAGAGGCGGGAGACTGGGGGATGGGAAGGAAGAGGAAGGAAACACCCCTAGCCTACCGCCCTGGATAGAGACCCCCAGAAGCCACAAGTGATCTTGGAGGGGAGCTGCCAGCAATTAGGAGACGACCCTACCAGAGTGTGGCCTGCCTGGGTCCCCAGCTGGCTCCAACGCTACTAGAGGCCTCAGTTTCTCATTCTGGAGAAGACTTGCTGACGACTTAAAAAGTTCTGAGCTTTCTCCCTTCCTTCCTTACAACCGGCAGTCTGTTGTTCTCATTTGGACCCAAGCTTAGAGCCCTGTGGACTTGGGTACCCTCTCTCTTCCTCCTTCCGGATTATTTCCTGACTTCACCCATACCTACACTCTGTATCTCCTTCCTCCTCTAACCTCTGACTGTCCTCTGTCCTGCATCCCAACAAAGAGCTCCTGTACTTACAGGGTAAAAAAGTTAGGCCCCTTCCAACCAAAAGGATGGCTGGCCTGGGCTTAGGAGCCTCCTTCTAGCCAGTAAGGCAGGTCAGAGGTCAGCAAATACAGGACCTTGTCTTTCAGGCAGGCCTCATGGCTGAGTGAGGCTTCCTTGAGCCCAGCAATCTACCCCAGCATGGTCCAGGCCTGTGAGGGGCGCTCCAGAGCACAGCCACCGACCTTGTCTTTGGGGGCAGCCATGACCCAGCCTCCACCCACCAAGGCTCCGGCCAAGAAGCATGTGCGGCTGCAGGAGAGGTGAGATCTTTCACAGAGAGGATCTTCCTAGACCTGGCTTGCTTTCATTTCCTCCCTCTCCCACGGACCCAGCCGCCCAGTTCTAACAACAGAGTCCACAAGGCCTGGAAAGAGAATTAATAATGCTCATTTGCATGCTGCTTGCCCATCCTTTGTGGTGTCTGAGGCACCGAGTTTCGTGTCATCCCTGGGCCTGCTCCCTCAGTCTCAAGCTGGGATGAGCAATCTCTGAGACAAGTCCAGGAGTCTTCACGGCACTGAGTGTACATCGGAGCCTCTGTGCCAGCTTAGGAGTAGGAGAGGTAGGCGACAGGAAGGCACATAAGAGTCTCAGCCTACTCCATTGTATCTGATAAAAGGAAAGGGGAACGTGGTAAGGGCCTGACCCCTGAGTGCCCCGAGCCTCTAGGTCAGGAGAAAGACTAACTGTGGCCTCCTCAGACACGCTCTGCGACAAGTCGTTGAAAGGAAAGCAGGCACTATGGGATGTTCACTGGGCACTGGATGGCTATGCTTTCAGAAGGGGCTCCAGCGTGGCTCTGATGCTGGATGTTCGGTCTTTGGGGGCTGTGGAACCCATCTGCTCGGTGAATACACCCCGGGAGGTCACCATACACTTTCTGCGCACAGCCGGACACCCCCTTACACGCTGGGGTCTGCAGCACCAGCCACCCAGCCCCAAGCAGCTAGAGGAGGAATTCTTGGTAAGGAAGTTGGGGTCCCCTCCACATCACCCTGCCCTTCCATCGTGGATTCCCCGGGCCTCTCTTCTCCTTGCGGTCCTTGGGGGAGATCGCCAAGGCTTAGGAGAGAAGGTTGTCCCTATGTGTGCAGAGGATGGAAGGGGAGAAAGGAGGCCGGGGCCAGATGTTAACACACTTACTCCCCCCACCAGAAGATCCCCTCAAACTTTGTCAGCCCTGAAGACCTGGATATCCCTGGCCATGCTTCCAAGGACCGATACAAGACCATCTTGCCAAGTAAGGGCCACAGAGGGCATGAAGGGGGCAGTGTCCTTGGGGGTGGAGAACTTGAGAAGGCAAGATATATACCTCGAAGCCAGGCAGAGTGGTGCATGCCTATGATAATCCGAGCACTTGGAGGTGCGAGTGGAGGATCGGGAATTCAAGGCCAGTCTCCACTGTCTAGCAAGTTCTGGGCTAGCTTGGTTTATATGAGACCTTGACAAAAATAAATAAAATAGAAATAAAAACAAACAAACAAACAAAAAACCCTCACATCCGCCAAGGAGGAAGCACAGTGCTTGAGACATGGTATTTCAACAGAGAAAGACTACCACCACCCTGGCAGCCAGGAGAGAGATAGCAATTACAAGATAACATTTGCAGAAGTTTACTGTGGGCCTCAGTGGGAGGGGTGAGCTCACACAGACAGACCCAGGCCTCGAACCTCCCTCTTTTCAGAGGCAGGCTTGAGTCCTGGAGCCTACCACGGTAGCTTCCAGAACCGTGGTCTAACTCAGCCGAGCACATGGGTCCTGCCCTGGGCTGAGCCTCCAAGCTCGCTGCCTGCTCTATCCAGAGCAAGGCTCTGTGAACAGCCAAGTGAGTTTGTTAGCCTTTGGCCTTGGCCTAATTCTAGCAAGTTCCACAGCTACCAAAGAGGGGAAGCCAGCTCCTTTATCCCTCATCCGGTTTGATTGGGAAAAGACCCACACCTTTGGAGAGAGAGCCCCAAATCCCTCATGGTCAAGTGATAGCTTAGACAATGTGTTGTTCATCTGAAGCTTGTATTCATAATCATGAAAAAAAAAGTTTTTTTCTGTGCAGAATCTCTTTCTATTCCTATCAGTTGCCTCCCATTTTATACCCTCGCTGATCTCAAGGCTAAAATATGACAATATCCCAATCGGTCTCCACAGCTCTGTGGTCTGTCCTATACACCATCATTCAGTTAATAGTTCTGCTTTGATTATATCACTTTCCTGCTCAAAAACATGTGGATCCCTACTGTTGTGGATTTTTTTTTTATTTTTTATTTTTGGTTTTTCGAGACAGGGTTTCTCTGTGTAGCTTTGCGCTTTTCCTGGAACTCACTCTGTAGACCAGACTGGCCTCGAACTCACAGAGATCCGCCTGCCTCTGCCTCCCAAGTGCTGGGATTAAAAGCGTGCGCCACCACTGCCCATCTGAAATATTGTATTTTAGAATACACAGGTATTATGCTACCTGTCTATAAAACAATTCAACTGAATGCCCTCTGACTCTATTAGAATCTGCATTTGTTGGTCCCCTCTGACTCTATTAGAATCTGCATTTGTTGGTCCGCTCTGTTGGTCCCCTCTGACCTTTCACCTTCACTGATCTTACTTCCTAGATCCCCAGAGTCGTGTCTGCCTTGGCCGGGCCCATAGCCAGGAAGATGGCGACTACATCAACGCCAACTACATCCGAGTGAGTGTGTGGCTGCTGCATCAGTCCAGCTGTGACTTGGCCTCAGTGGCCTGTATTTCTCTCCTTGTCCTTTCCTGCCATAGCTCTCTCTGCCAGACGGGGGTGGGGGGGGGTGGGGGGGGTGGGGGGGGCGGGCGGGCGGCGACACACCGAACGACCCCCCAAATCAACCCAGAAAAGATATTAAAATTTCCTAACCTACCCTGTTACCCTATCCATGACAACTCTCTCTATGTGGCAATAGGCTGACACGGCTGAGCCTCGTCACTAGTTTCTTTTTTTTTTTTTTTTTTTTTTTTTTTTTTTTTTTTTTGGTTTTTTCGAGACAGGGTTTCTCTGTATAGCTTTGCGCCTTTCCTGGAGCTCACTTGGTAGACCAGGCTGGCCTCGAACTCACAGAGATCCGCCTGGCTCTGCCTCCCGAGTGCTGGGATTAAAGGCGTGCGCCACCACGCCCGGCTTCGTCACTAGTTTCTTAAAGGCTAGTTGGCTCCTAAAAGCTGCACAAAGCCATCACGAGTGAGGATCTACTCCCATCTCCTCTCCCACACTCATTCGCCCCCCCCCGACCCCCGACCCTGTACCAAGTAGCACCTCCTTTGTAGAGACTGATGGATGTCCAGCTAATAGCACCCTCAAAGCAAGAAGGGCCATCTAGCCCAATTTCTCACCTGGTGTGGTAGGTGGATGGGAAAGCAATGCCCCCTTGTGGCCAAATGTGGTAGGACCATATTCTAGGTTGCTGGGAGGCAAAGTTGTCCGGCAGAAAGCATAGTAGATAGGTAGTGCTCTGCTTGCTTGGCAGCGGGAACCAGGCAAGCAGCGGGATGCATGGATGACGGAAGGACGGAAGGACGGTGGAAGCTAAGGAGGATGGAAGGGGTTGAACAGATTAGGAACAGTATGCTGGATTTTGGTGCCAAATGTATAAAAGTGATTCATGAAATGTGAAACGTTCTTACAAATATTGAAGACTATGATATCTTGCGCCTGAAGAAAGCAGAAGAAGACAGGGATAAACATGTACATGGTGCCTGCCATCTGAGAGACTGCCAATATACTTTTTTGAGTTTAATTCACACTCTGTTATGAGGTAATCTCTAGGCCCAGTCTATAGGTTGAGAAACTGAGTCTCACAGAGGCCAGGAATTTGAACTCAGGTGTTTCTCATCATGGATCCCATGTCCTCCTCCAGCATGTGGCTTCTG